AGACAGGGTCTCACTATGTAATTGAGACTGACCTGGAACTCACTATGTAGCCCAGGCTGGTTTCGAACTCACTGCAATCCTGCCTCAGCCTCCTGAGTGCTGTGATTACAGGCGTGCGACACCACACCCAACTACATTTGTCTGTTCCTAGTGGAAATTCTCCCACCATCTGCCTCTTCAGTGTCATAAAAGGGGAATTGAAAGAGGTACACGGTGGCACCCAATCATAGCATATTTCCACTATAAAAGTATAAAAGACAAATAATCGTAAGAAAATAGTAGTAAAAAATCTAGTTTCTAAAAATTGGGAAATGGTGAGTACTTACCTTTGTTTTTAATATATAATTTTTTAAAGTGCAAGTTTATATAATGTAATTTTTGAGAATGGCTGTGATTAATAACCAGCTTGCAGAATTCCTCAAGATTTAACAAAAGGTTTTCTTGCCAGGCATGATGGTACACACCTGTCATCTCAGTATTTGGGAGGCCGAGGCAGAAGGAACAGAGTTCAAAGCTAGCCTGGACTATTTAATAAGACTTTGTCTGAAAAAAACAAAAACAGAGTGGATGAGAGGCACCTCCTGCACATCACTGGTGCCCTCCTTGGTGTCTCTCTGGAGCCTAGTTAATCTTGGGTGGTTACTCTTTATTTCTTTAGAGAAATATCCTTGCCTGCCCTATGACATTTGTCCTCGCTCTGTCTGTGTTCTTTTTTTTTGGTACCGGGGATCGAACTCGGGTCTTTGCGCTTGCAAGGCAGGTGGTGGAACCACTGAGCTAAATCCCCGGCCCTCTGTCTGTATTCTTAATTGGTGCTATTTCAGGCCTACCACTCTTCCCTCATGGACCCTGACACCAAACTCATTGGAAATATGGCGCTGCTACCTATCAGGAGTCAGTTCAAAGGACCCGCCCCTAGAGAGAGTAAGTCTAAACCATTGCTTTCAAATGTTGGTATAAAATGCCTAGCAAAGCTTCTGAGAATATCAGCTCAGGAAATTTCTTCGCTCGGTCCTCTGTCTTGTGTTACTCTTTTACTTTCTGTTTGCTTGGTATGTATTGTATTTTTTGTTGTTTTTTGTTTTTTGTTTTTTTTTTGAGACAGGGTCTCACTATGGAGTTGAGACTGACCTGGAACTCACTATGTAGCCCAGGCTGGTCTCGAACTCACAGCGATCCTCCTGCCTCAGCCTCCCGCGTGCTGAGATTACAGGCATGAGCCACCACGCCTGGCTTGTATTGTATTTTAGACCTCTCTTGATCACAGTTATGCTGGGCATGGTGGTACACACCTGTAATAACAGTGCTCAGGAAGCTGAGGCAGGAGGATTATTGTGAGTTTGAGGGCAGTTTGAATTACATAGCAAGAACCTAACTGAAAAAGATAAAAAATAAAAAGATTATGACTCTATGTTGCATTTAATAGGAAATCATATTGTTACTTCCACTTTCTCTAGGATATTTTGCTGAGAGGAAAGTGGAAATGTACTTAATTCTGGACATGTTCCTATAGTCACTATCTGTTCCTTCAAACTAATCTACTACTGTTACCCCTATAGAATGCCTTGGCTCCATCTTATCTCTGCCATCACATTGGAAAAGACAGACATCAAAAATTATTTTAAGCCAAGTGTGGTAGCAAACACCTGTAACCCCAGCTATTTGGGATGTTGAAGCAGGAGGATCCCAAATTCAAGGCCAGATGGGAAAGCTTGCTAGATCCAGGATTAAAATAAAAATTTTTGAAAAGGAACTGGGATTGCAGCTCAGTGGTAGAGCACCCCTGGATCCAATTCCCAGTACATCAAAAATAGTAATATTTTTTCTTCTCCATCTAAATCTATTTCCTTTGTCCATTCTTCAGAATCTTCATTTTTAGCAATACCCAATTCTAAACCTTAAAGTGTACTACATATAATTACTCATTTCTGCCCTTGGTTTTCTGAATTTTGTTTCTTTGCTTTCTTGGTACTCTCTCTTTTAGGAAGGGGTAGGTAGTGTTGGGGACTGAGCACAGGGCCTTGTGCATGCTAGCCATGCATTCAGCCATTGAGCTAACCCCAGCTCCTCACATTTTCTTTCTGAAACACTTTTACTGTTTGTAAAGCCTCATTCTGTCTCAGACACTGTTGGAGAGACTTCTGACACATTCTGAGATGTTCTGCCAACAGTGTAATTTATTTTTTATTAGGCATGGTTTCCCTGCACCCAGCAAAGTTCTGGACTGAGTTCCATTCATGGGTCTAACACCATGGTTATAATTACCAATTTTGTACAGATCCCATAGTCTGTTGAATCCTGCCAGACTATTTGACTTGACCTCCTCTTAATTTAATTTTGTTTTCAATACTAGTTGAAAGCTCAGTAAACCTAATAAATTTGGTGAGTCACGAGTTTTTATTTGATTTTGAGAAAAAGGAACAGATGGAAAGAGGCAGACTGAAAAAGAAGAGCAATAATGCAAAAGAATTAGAATGCAAAGAAATAAGACACCAAAAAATAAATAAATAAGAATCATTGTTAGCTCAGATTCCTTAAAAACACTTTCATTTGGGCTGGAGGTTTAGCTCAGTGGCACCAGCTCCTGCCTGGCAAACACAAGGTCCCAAGTTTGATCCCCAGTTCTGCACAAAAAAGAAAACTTTCATTCAGTATGCATGTTTGTGCACACACAGACACACCCTTTCATGTGGTTACAGATACCATATGCTGTATCAGAAGAGGCAGCTAGCCAGGTATGGTGGCGCACACCTATAATCCCAGTACTCAGAGGCTGAGGCAGGAGGATTGCCATGAGTTTGAGGCCAATCTGGGCTACACAGTGAGTTCAAGGCCAGCCTGAAATACATAGCAAGACCCTGTCTCAGAAAACCATACACATATAAAGAAGATTCAGTTGACCAGAATGGGGATAAATGTAATTACACTTTTGCAGTTCTTGGGTTCTTAAGGGACAATGAGACCCTGAGAAACCAAATAGAAGAGAGATGACCTTGTTGCTGTTCCTGAAGGAGCTGGGTTAGATCCAATTCAGAGTGGAAGCCTGTGCTGTGAGCTAAATAATTTAACATTAATCACTTCTGAGGCTGATGGTATGTAGCTCAGTGGTAGAGCATGTTATAATTACCAATTTTGTGAATGAGGCCCTAGGTTTGACCCATAGCCCTATACACAAATTTAATTACTTTATATCAGGAAGTAGTTTCTGAATGCTTCTATATACCAAACACCCTTCTAGATTCTAAATTATTTCATCTTCACCACCTCCTGTCATTATGTTAAGGACGAGTTGGTTTTGCCAGGTGTGGTGACCCATGCCTGTAATCTCAGCCCTCGGGAGGCTGAGGCAGGAGGATCACTGTGAGACCAGCCTGGACTACATAGTGAGACCTTGTCTCAAAAAAAAAAAAAAAAAAAAAAAGAGTCAATTTTTGTAAACCCTGTTGAATCCTCTCCTAAGAAAATAGATTGTGGCAAACACAAGTCTAGAATTAGAATTCTGTTGAAATTTTTCAGCAGAATGAGCTAGGATGAAGACATTGAATTATAGTGGATTAAAGCCCAGCCTTTACATTTCTGCTGTGTGAGAGGGATAGCAATCATGGACAAGAAATATAAATAACTTACTGAAGCCAGATGCCAGATATCAAAACCTTGGGATTTTGACCTTTTTAAAATGAAAAAAGGAGGCCAAGAAATTGTGTAACGAAATCTGTTTTTGTCACAGCAGTATTTCCGACTTTTCTTGGTCTGTAGCCACTTAGTACATCTTGTGCAAATGATGTGTGCGTGTGCGTGTGTGTGCGCGCGTTCACTTGTGTATGTATGTGTGTGTGTTTTGGTACTGGGAATCAAACCCAGGGCCTTGCCAAGTGTCTACCATTGAACTACATCCCCAAACCCCAAGGTACTGTACATTTAGGTCATCGGTTTCACAAAAAGAAGGATGTATGTCCAAACTCTAATGTGTTTCTAAATAACTGAGTTTTTTCTCTTGAAACTACAGAATGTAAATCCAGATAAATATATACCTTTTTATTGTTCATCTGTTTGAGATAGAGCCTCGCTATGTAATTCAGGCTGACCTTGAACTCACTGTGTAGCCCAGGCTGATCATGGCAGTCCTGCCTCACCCTCCTGAGTGGTGAGATTACAAGCATACACCATCACACCCAGATAAATCGATACCTTTTATTTTACTTTATTTTATTTTTTTGTACTGGGGATCAAACTTGGGTCCTTGTGCTTGCAAGGTGACACTGCCACTGAGCTAAATCCTCAGCCCTATACTTTTTAGTTTGAAAAAGAACTTTGAAGGAAGGGCAGAGGTTTGCGGAGGGGAAAATGAGAACCAAGATGTGGCATGTAAGGGTACAAGATTCCAATTATGAATGTGACTGTACTGTATACCTAAAATGTACCAATAAACTCAATGAGAAAATAAATGAGTAAAAAAAAAAGAGCTGTGTTAAAGTTAGGCTGTGTTTCAGTCTGTAAATACACTGAGAGAGATCTCAAATGATGTTTACCAAATTTTGATTTGGTTTTTTTTTTTTTTTTTTTGTACCAGGGATCAAACTTGGGACCCTGTGCTTGCAAAACAGGTGGCGGAACCACTGAGCTAAATCCCTGGCCCTTTACCAAATGTTAATAGTAGTTTTTGCTAGATAGTGAGATTTAGTGAAAATTGAAATTTCTTTTTATTTATTAACTTCAATTTTCTAATGAACGTATATAATTTTTACAAAACAATAAAATTGTAAAGATAGGCCATGTATTTATTTTTCCATAAGTATTTTGAAAACTTATTTCAGTAGCCTCATTTTTTTTTGCCATTCCAAGACAGTGAAGCTTGGATTATTTTTCCTTTATGGCTTTTGTAGCTGTTATTCCTTGCATTTGGCTAATGTTTCCTGTCCTCTTTCTCTTTTCCCTTGTGTCCTGTTTAGCAAAAGATACAGATATTGTGGATGAAGCCATCTATTACTTCAAGGCCAATGTATTCTTCAAAAACTATGAAATTAAGGTAAATTACAAATTTGTAATACTTTAGTTTTCTGATGGAGATATCTACCTTGCAGTCTGTGTTGCTGTAAAGCCCTGAGATTGTGATTTTTAAATTTCAGAGTATGCCTAGTGTTAGACTCTGTGCAAATATTAATTTCCCTTTTTCTTCCAAAATATATACCAGAGGTTAGTATATCAGATCTGAGGGGCAACTCTGACTCTCTGCCTCTTTTTCTTTTTTCTGCCTCTTCTTGTAAATAAAGTTTCATTGGAAAACAGCCTTGCACATTTGTTTGTACATTATATGTGGCCGCTTTCCCACCACAACAGCAATAGATGGGCCAGGAATTTAGCTCAGTGATTCCACTGCCTGCCTCGTAAGTGCAAGAACCCAAGTTCCATCGCAAGTACCAAAAAAAAGAAACTAACAGCAGTAGAATAATTATGACAAACACTGTGTTAACCCACAAAGCCTAAAATATTTACTTCCTAGTCTTTACAGAGAAAGCTTGCCAACCCCTTGTCTAAATACATTTTTTATTCAACATTATCTACTACGTGCCAGTCTAATGTACAGAGCTAATCCATAACCAAAACTCTTACATGCTCTCTCTCTATATATATATATACCACTTGAGCTTTGAAAATATGAAGTACTAATCCATAACCAAAACTCTTACATGCTCTCTCTCTATATATATATATACCACTTGAGCTTTGAAAAAATATGAAGTACTCCCAAATCCTAAACTTTTAAAGTTTCAGATTTTGGAGCATTTTAGATTTTCAATTTTCAAAGCAGGAATGTTCACTGGTAAAGTCTATGCCGATATTCCAAAACACTGCTCCCAGTCATTTCAGATATGGGTTACTCAACCTGTACTTTTGTGTCATGGACCTGAGTTGGAGAGTAAAAGACTTGAACAGGGACTTCTAACAGTAGAGAAACTTCCTTGAGTGCTCTTCCCCGTCCTGCTCTTGGTTTCAGGGAGAAGTGTTCAGGAGTGGGAGGAAAGGAGAGGAGAAAATGAAAAACAGTTTCCTGAGCTCCTGCTATGAGCAGGTTACAGAGAATAGCAAGGATATTTTGTGTTTTTGTTGTTGCTTTTTAAGACAGCTCTACTATGCAGTCTGTGTTGAGCTTGAACTCAGAATCTTCTTGCCTCAGCCTCCTGGGTACTGGAATTACAGGGTGTACACCAGCACAACTGGCTATAAATTTCTTACCCCCCCCCTTTTTTTTTTTTTGGTACCAGGGATTGAACTCAGGACCTTGCACTTGAGAGGCAGGTGGTAGCACCATTGAGCTAAATCCCCAGCCCTTATAGACTCTTCATCAGAGATTGTAATCTAAGCATCCTGAGATGTTGAGTGTTTTCTATATCTAATGCATGGTCTAGATTTTGTGTTTATAATAGGTACAAATGAATATAATTCTGCCACATTTCATTTTTCCCCGGTATTGTATGTTAAAAATAGGGAAATGTGTGCTTTTTGGTTGTTTTTCTTTTCTCAACTATGACTTTGTGTAAAATTGGGCATAAACACATGCCACATCTGATCAGTATCCGTGGTCTTCAGATCTTCCTTTTGTCAGGTCAAGATGTTGGGCTTGGGCCAGAGATTTAAGTCAGTGGTGCTGTGCCTGCCTCACAAGCAAAGGTCCTGAGTACAATCCCTGGTACTGGAGAAAGAAAAAAAAAAAAAGATGTTGGGCACATGGAGTTCTTCAAGAACATGTCACACGTGAAGTAATTGCTTCCTCCTTTTGAGTAATGAGTGTTTGTGTTCTTGGCAGAGAGCCTCGAGTGAAAGGGTTTCAAACTGACCTACCATATGGTGCACCTCAGGTTTCCCAGGCTGTTTTGTTCATTCTCCATCCTGCAGAGTCAGGTGCTGTTGACACCGGCAAGGGGAGCTGAGAAAAACAAGAGCAGTTGCACAGCTCAGGGGAAGCTGATGGCTCCCTCTTAGAGGGGGCTTCCGGAGACCATGCATGCAGACATTGGGATTTCGATGCCAGTACAGTAGATAATCAGAAGTCAGAGATCACATTCATTCATTGCACATGATTGTTATGTTCTGGTGAGTTTTTTAATTTCTCTTTTTGCCCCTGTAGAATGAAGCTGACAGGACTTTGATATATATAACTCTGTACATTTCTGAGTGTCTAAAGAAACTCCAAAAGGTAATCATAAACTTAATCATTTATTGGGAAAACAAATCACTGATGTGTATTTACCCTTCCAGCCACCTGGGTTTTTTACTTTATTTTATTTATTTATTTATTTATTTTTGGTACTGGGGATCGAACTCCGGCCTTTGCGCTTGCATGGCAGACATCAGAACCACTGAGCTAAATCCCTGGCCCTGGGTTTTTACTTTAAAGACAAGTGAAAATATTTTCTCTGACTTAGGGCGTGGTGTTAAGAGAAAATGTAATTTTCCACCTAGTTGAGTTGACCAACACAAAATTTAGGATAGTGATTTTTTTTTCCCAAGCGTTACAGACGGAACCCATTGCCTTCTGAGTGCTAGGCAAACATTCTACATATTCCTAGCCCTTTTCTGTTTTATTTTGAAATATGGTCTCACTACGTTGTCCAGGCTGACATCAACTCGGCAATCCTCCTGCCTCAGTCTCCCAAGTAGCAAGGATTACGGGCTTATGCCACCATGCCTGGCCAGAAAAAGATATGACATTTTAAGGCTTTACGTGTATTTTTCAAGACAGAAATCTTGACAGAATTTACCTTGGCTTAGAGGTCCAAGGGTAAAATTTAAGGTTCCATGAAGTTAACTTGGAAAAGATTGCATTTTTCTTACCAATAACCTCTAACTTAAAATATAGCATTTTCTTTTTTGTTTGTTTCATTTTGGTTTCTTTCTTTGTTTTGTTTTGTTTTCGTACTGGGGATTGAACTGGGGACCTCTTGCTTGCAAGTCAGGTGATGGAAGCACTGAGCTACATCCTCAGCCCTGGTTTTTTTTTTTTTTTTGTTTTGTTTTCGTTCTGGGGATTGAACTGGGGGCCTCTTGCTTGCAAGTCAGGTGATGGAAGCCCTGAGCTACATCCTCAGCCCTGGTTTTTTTTTTTTTTTTGTTTTGTTTTCGTTCTGGGGATTGAACTGGGGGCCTCTTGCTTGCAAGTCAGGTGATGGAAGCCCTGAGCTACATCCTCAGCCCTGGTTTTTTTTTTTTTTTTGTTTTGTTTTCGTTCTGGGGATTGAACTGGGGGCCTCTTGCTTGCAAGTCAGGTGATGGAAGCCCTGAGCTACATCCTCAGCCCTGGTTTTTTTTTTTTTTTTGTTTTGTTTTCGTTCTGGGGATTGAACTGGGGGCCTCTTGCTTGCAAGTCAGGTGATGGAAGCCCTGAGCTACATCCTCAGCCCTGGTTTTTTTTTTTTTTTTGTTTTGTTTTCGTTCTGGGGATTGAACTGGGGGCCTCTTGCTTGCAAGTCAGGTGATGGAAGCCCTGAGCTACATCCTCAGCCCTGGTTTTTTTTTTTTTTTTTTTTCTTTTTTGAGATGGGGTCTCACTATGTAGTCCAGCTGGCCTCGATCTTGCTACATAGCTCAGCATGGCCTTGAGCTTGCAATCCTTTTGCCTCAGCCTGAAGAGTACTGAGATCACAGGTGTGAACCACTGCACCCACCAGCAGTAACTCCAATTATGAACACAACTATAGTCGACAGCAGTGTCTGTGACCTTTTCTCCTAAGGAGTCCATGACATTGTCACATTACGTAGAAGTTGAAGATATTTTGAAATTTTTTCACACTCACCACTACTTGAAACTTTAGTTACTACATCTTATTATTGTCAGCATTTATAAAAAGCATATGTATGATTATGTCATATGTTAGGTCTTCATATTTTAATTGTTCTATTTCACTATATTGGTTTCTCTTGTAATTTTATTGTTTATTCATTTAAAGCACTGCTCTGAGAAAGGACTCATGGGGTTTACTTGATTTCAGAAAGGGCACAAAAATTCGTACCTCAAGGGCTGGGGATTTAGCTCAGCGGTTCGTTGGCCTGCCTTGCAAGCACAAGGACCTGAGTTCAATCCCCGCTACCAAAAAAAACAAAAAACAAAAAACATACCTCAGCCTTAGCTGTTTAAACCAAAAAATTGTAATCTGGATTTCTTTCTTTTTTTTTTTTTTTT